ACAAGAACTCTGAATCTGGACAAATGCTGCCATATACACGCCCACCGGGATAGAGACGCTGAAGGTATTAAACTGATCAGAACAATACCAAACACACCACAAATAAGGTTTCTCTCCTGCATGGCTCCTCAAATGATGCTTAAGATTAGAAGTGGCTGAAAAGCATTTCTCACACTACAAACAAAAATATATTTTTTTAACATTCTCTCCACTTTGAACGAAATGACGTTTGGGAAGAGATTAACATAATTAAACACAGGCAGTAAAAATACAGTTTTTAGCCATACACTGTAACTTTTAAACTACACATCCCATCTTCATAATTACATATTTGGAATCAGCACACTTAAAACATAAACATAACCAAAAATCAGCCAAATACATCCAGGGGTTAAAAAGTTAGCTGGAGGTCCCTTTATGACCGACCGCAAGCACATTTTCCTGCCCAAACCAGTTCCATAGATTTGGGCTGTGAGGTCGGTCTATTTCAGGCTGAAAAAACGACTAAGTCCCATCGCCGAATGGGACTTAGTCTCTGCAGCTGTAAACCAGTAGGGGAGAAGGTAGAGCTCAGCGGTGTTCGCGGAAATGTGTAGCCGATTTTAGTTCCATGAATTTGGCTACACATACCACTGACCTCGTCGAATGATCAAAGATGGCCGCCGCCACGTGTTCGGCAAACGAACAAAGACCTCCCAGCATTGTCAATTAAGTTGCGGTTAACCGCAGCTTCTGGGAGGTAGATTGCCTGCACACTTCCACTTCTGGGTGGTCTGCCTGTGTGGTACTTGGTTCAGTAAGCCCCATTTACTGAACCAAGTGGGAATTAGCCAGGCAGGCACAAAGGGTTTGCACCAGGTCTGGGGACACAGGGGACACCGTTTTAAAGGGGCAGTGTCCCCAACAAGTCTGGGGACACGGCCTTAAAGGGGCAGTGTCCCAATCTTCCTGATGTCCCAAAAAAGGTGTTTAAAGGGCCAACACCAGTCACATAAAGAGTCCATAAGCCCCAATATGCCCACCAACAGTCTTAAAGGGCCATACACACCAAATAAAAGTGCATACATTTTCACAATCTCCCAGGGGCCATAGTCATGCGGGAGGAGGCTGGCAAATAGGCTTCTCCACAACCCAGGGAAGCAGGGCAATTTGCCATTTAAAGGGCCCGTTACAAATAGCAGTTTGTAACAAGGTGTCAATCCATATCCGCCAAGTGACCCGATGTAGGGGGACCAGTCCCTATTCTGCTCTGTGTCAGTGTGTACCAGGGAACCTTAGGACAGGTGTCAATCCATATCTGCCAAGTGACCCTATGTTGGGGTAACATTCCCTATTCTGATCTGTGTCAGTGTGTATCAGGGGCTCTGAGGACAGGTGTCAATCCATATCTGCCAAGTGACCCCATGTAGGAGGAACAGTCCCTATTCTGCTCTGTGTCAGTGTGTATCAGGGATCCTTAGGACAGGTGTCAATCCATATCTGCCAAGTGACCCTATGTAGGGGAACCAGTCTCTATTCTGCTCTGTGTCCGTGTGCATCAGGGGCTCTGAGGACAGGTGTCAATCCATATGTCAAGGTGTCAATATGTCATATGTCAGGTGTCAATCCATATTGATTGTGATTTAGGAATGTTAGGTGATTTCTGCCCTTTATGGATTAAAACCAGACTGTATCAACTGTGTAATTTTCCATGGGAGTTTTGCCATGGATCCCCCTCCGGCATGCCACAGTCCAGGTGTTAGTCCCCTTGAAACAACTTTTCCATCCCTATTGTGGCCAGAAAGAGTCCCTGTGTGTTTTAAAATTCGCCTGCCCATTGAAGTCTATGGCGGTTCGCGCGGTTCGCCGATTCGCGAACATTTGCTGAAGTTCGCGTTCGCCATTCGCGAACCGAAAATTTCGGGTTCGCGACATCACTACCCTTCAGATTGGGAGCTAGAGGAATCCTCTTTTGCTCATTTATTTGTATATGAGGAAATACTTTTTTGAGTCACCTCTTTAATACCTGCCTTAGCGATAATGTCTGTTAGTTCTACAGTAGTGTTCTGGGATGAAGTAGATGCTCCTTCGTTAGCAATAACACGGAGGAAGTCCCGGCAGACGTTTTTCCCTTCAATAGCCACAGCAGGACAAGCATGACACTGTTTATTCTTTCCTTTTTCTTGTGGAACCTTCTTAACAGGCTGTCTTGGGCTGCAATATATGTATATAATGTAGTAGGAGTATATATATATACACACACTAATATATATATATATATATATATATATATATATATATATATTTATTTATTTTTAAAACCCTCATGCTCCTATACATATGTAAATACTGAACCTAAATACACATATACATATGGCTAAATTTAATATAAAAAGTTTTTTTAATATAGATCAATGAGAATTTTATTGAGGTAGAACCCCTCTTACCTTGCAGTAGTATTCAGACAATCCCACACTGCACCAGTTCCCCCGAAACCAGGATTTTTCACCAGAAGAAAGCCATTTGCAAGGACCACCTTTAAACACCATACCACCTTAACTGACCTTTTACGCACTACTGGCACATACGCAATTGCTCCCGTGAGATGCCGGTCGGCCATGCTGGATTTTTGCAGAACACACAGACAAGCTGAGCTGGGAACCGCAGTATACAAATAAAGTTGCCCCAATACTTCCTGATAATTAGGGACAGTCCAGCAGACATGGTGAAACGGGAGAAAAGGATGATTATTTCGGCCAATCTCTTAGTTTTGTGACATTCAATCGTATGGGTTCCAGACAACAGGCTTAACAGAGGAATAATTGATCCCTTACCCTTCTATGCACACTAAACAGCAGAAGGGAATTAGATAGGAAAATAAAGAGAGAATAGAAACAAATGAGGGAGGCTTCCTTACCTCCTCTAAACAGATATAATCCTGTGAGTTTAGTTGCCTAACAGCTGGAGGACAGGGAAAAGACTGCTGGTATAGGAGAGGAAGGTCCTTATTTATGCTAACTCAATGCAGCATCCCAAACCCCTCCCCCTACTCACATTCCCTCTCCCTCCCAATACCCATTTTGATTTTGTGTATCAAAGGTTGTAATGCTAGGATATTTCTGTCCTATCAGATGAGAGGGAGGAGCTTAACCCATTGGTGATGCTGACATGGATTAGCCAGGAAATAAAGGTGATTTAACTCCTTAATGGCATAGAATTGAGAAGTAAAACTGCTGGGCATGATCTATACACCCAAGCCGCTTAATTAAATTAAAGCAGTTTTTTTTTTAAATATTTAGTTTTTTATTGCTTGTTTCAGTTCTTGTGTTACAGTGTTTTTGAAACAGAATATATAACAGATAAACATTGTAAACATTCTACCATGGTAAATTTTAACTAGGTTTCACAGAGAGTGCAGCGTTACAGCCATATTTTGGTATGCAAGTCATATACAAAGGGAGTAGGGACATTGTATGGCAGCAGATGTTATATTGCTATAGTCTGGTGAGTATATAGTCATTCCAGATCTGGCTATTTTGGATACCATGTATGACTACGGGGAAACAAAAATAAAAGGGAGAGGATAATTGGTATTGGGAGGGAGAGGGAATGTGAGTAAGGGGAGGGGTTCGGGATGCTGCATCACCATTTAGAGTGCTGTCTCAGAACACTGTCTTAGCTCACAGTCTTAGTTCGCACAGGTTCGGCTCAGCCACCACGTCCACCTTCGTGAAATTAAGGGAGTTGTGTGTGATATTCAGTCCCGTACTGCCCTGACTCCTGGGGCGGGGTGTCTAATGGACCTAAGAGTATGTTGGGTCCTGGTTCAGCTGACCCGACCATTTTGACCATATTTGGGTATAACGTGTTAAGGTGCCCTTGATTGTGTGTGATATTTTCTCGAGTTGCTGCGTTTGGTTCACACTGTTAACTACCTGTTTTATTCCCGGTGCAGTGGTTGATTTCCATAGGGAGGATATGCAATGTTTGGCCGCTAGTGTGATGTGGGTGGTTAACGCTGCCTCAGAGTGCGAGAGTGTTTTGGGTAGCATGTGTAGTAAGTAGGTCTCCGGAGTGAGCGGGAGCACCTTCCGTATACTTGTTTCTATCAGCGATTGTACTTGGTTCCAGATGGTGGTTAGTACAGGACATTGCCAGAATATGTGGCACATAGTACCCACCTGCCTGCAGCAGTGCCAGCATGTCTGCTGTGCACCTGGGTATATTAGGGCCAATCGCTGAGGGGTGAGATACCATCTCATCCAGAGTTTATAGGCAGCTTCCACATGGTCTAGGCAGTGCGTGGCCTTCTTCACCAATGCCATCGCTGCTGACCATCTGCCCGCATCTAGTGTGCAGTTAAGCTAGTTTTTCCATTGCACCATGTACTTTAGCTTATCTGGTCTATCCACCTCTAAGAGTTTTCGGTAGCATAGGGAAAGCGGCTTTGCTTGGATTTTGACGTTGTAACATAGGGAGTCAAACATGTTAGGCCCTCGGGTGTCAGATGCCGCGTGGGTGACGCCCCGCAGTATGTGCTTGACATGGAGGTAGTTAAAAAGTTCCCTACCAGGGAGGAGGAATGTCTGCTGAAGTTCGGGGAATTGCTTTATTCCCATGGCCTCTATGATTTGGGATACTCTTACTATCCCCCTCTCTGTCCATTTGTCTAGAGCCAGGTTGTGTGTGAGGTATTGTAGTTTTGTTAGGGGGGCATATAAAATCATAGGGTGGGTAAGCATTTTTGGGGCCCACTGTCGCCATATGTGGAGGGCTGTGCTAGTAGTCGAAAGCAGGCCAGAGTGTTGGGGCTGAGACTTGAGTTGGATCCATAGGAGGTCCAACAGAGTATGTGGTGCGATAGTTGCGGTTTCCAGGTGGTACCATAGGGGGCGCATTGGGGCCCGCAGTAAGCATGCTATTTGGGACAGGACTGTAGCTAAATAATATTTGGAAATATTGGGTACACCCACCCCTCCACCACCCATGATGAGGGTTATGCTCGTTAAGGAAACTCTTGGTGGTTTCTTTTTCCAAATATAGGCTTTGGGCATGCGCTGATATCGTTGCAGTAACAACTTTGGGATGTCATCAGCAAAGGCAGCTATTTTTGGGGACCTAGTGGCGAGGGGACTCCTGCGATTTTTTTTGGTCCATTTTGATTTTGTGTATCAAAGGTTCTAATGCTAGGATAAATATGAGGGGTGATAAGGGGCACCCCTGCCGCGTACCGTTCGTCAGGGCAAAACATCGGGATATGAAGCCGGAGCTCATGACCGTAGCTGTCGGGGAGGAGTACAGTGACAGGATGCCCCCGAGAAATTTTTCAGGAAATCCGAATCTGCGGAGGACCTCTGTCATGTGGCCCCAATGGAGCCGGTCAAAGGCTTTTTCTGCGTCCAGAGCCATTAACAGTCCTTGCATCTTATTCTTGGCCATGAGCTCCAGTACATCCAATGCCCTCCTGGTGTTGTCCTCCACCTGGCGATCTGGGACAAAGCCCGATTGCTCTGGGGAGACAAGCGTGCATAGGAGCGGGCATATTCTGTTGGCTAATACCTTGGCAAATAGTTTAGTGTCTGCATTGAGTAATGAAATAGGGTGGTAATTTGTGCAGAGGTCCGTGGGTTTGCCTGGTTTGGGGATAGTGATTATGGTAGCCTCCAGCATTTCGGGGGGATGTAGCCTGTCTCCATGATGTTGTTAAACAGGGAGGTCAGGTGTGGGAGCAGTAGGTCTTCAAAGACTCGATAGTAGTGGGTGGTAAATCCGTCTGGGCCTGGGGCTTTATGTCTAGGAGTGTCTTTAAGTGCTCTGGAGATTTCCTCGGGGGTGATTGGGTTGTTAAGTGGCGAGGCTTGGTCGCTGGAGAGCTGGGGGAGCTCCACCCCGTCTAGGTAGGCGGTTAGTTCCTGCGGAGTTGGTTGGTGTTGGAGAGGGTCTGAGGCGAGGTTATAGAGTGCCCCGTAAAATGTTGCAAACTCATCCACTTTCATTTTGGGGTTTGTCAGTTTTGTTCCCGTACTATCCACTAAGTGTGCTATCCGCGTCTGAGATGCTTTTTCGTGTAGTTGAGCAGCTAGTAACCTCCCTGCCCTGTTCCCCTGTCTGTAGTAATCACACTTGAGTTTGCGGAGTACCCTCTCCACTCACTGAAATTGATGAGTTTCTTAGGCCACCCTGATCTTATTAACTTCCCTTTTGTGTGTGTCTGTGGGTGAGGATTTGTGGAGGTCCTCGGCTATCTTCAGGTCTCTGAGTAGTGCGGTATTGGTTTCCGCGATTTTGCGTCTCAATGATGCTCCCTTTTTAATCAGTACCCCTCGTATCACTGCCTTATGGGCTAGCCATGTCACTGTCTCGGACGTGTCCTGACTCTGGTTTTCCGCAAAGTAGCGCACTATGGTTTTCCTCACCTCTACATTTTGTTCAGCCTGATCTATGAGCGACTCGTTGAGATGCCATTTTGCTCGTCCCCTGATTGGGTGCAGTGTGGTGAAGGAGGACATCAGGGGGGCATGGTCCGACCATGTAATAGAGTCAATAGTGACCTTGGCCAATGTGTCTAGGGTTTTACTGACCTACTAGGCACATGCCTATACGTGAGTATTGGTCGTGAGCCATCGAGTAGAAAGTGTAGTCCCTAGTTGCTGGGTATAGTGAACGCCATGTGTCATGTAGGCCATGGGAGTGTAGGGGGGCGGAGAGTTTCTCGCCAAGAGAGGTGGAGCGAGGGTGGGAGCCTGGATTGTCCGATCTGTCGAAGTCAGCTTTTTCAGGGATTTCCTAATGAAGGCATATTGGTTGGTATTGGGGGCGTATAGGTTCACTATCGTCACAGGGACACCATTGAGGTTGCCAACTAGAATCAGCAGTCTACCCTCTACACATTTATACTTTATTGAACAATTAGGATACTGACTCCTCTTGTTTTGTTGGACGCCAGGGCATGGTACGAGGTGGGGTATCTGGCCGAGAAGAATTTTGGGGGGTTTGTGACAGAGAAGTGGGTTTCCTGTATACAGGCCACTGAGGCATGCATTGTGTGGAGCTGGGAGAAGGCGAGCCTGCGCTCCTGTGGTGTGTTCAAGCCACGGGCGTTTAAGGAGAGGACATTAAATTGGTGAGGGGGGATCATGTTGTTATTACGGCGCAACCGGTCTTCTAGGTCCACCAATTTGACTGTTAAGCGTGTTTGCTCTTCTTCTAATTTGTGGACTCTCTCCAGAATGCCATCATTGGCAAGGCAGAGATCTTCAGTTTTTTCCTCCAAAGCGTTTAAGCGGCTGCCCACCTCGTGTACCTCTCGGCGGATGTCATTGACCGCCAGTTGGAGATCCTCCTTCATAGAAGAGCGGAGCTCCTGGAGCATAGCCGCCATTCTTTTCTCCGACATGGAGATATCCCCAGGAGGAGGCTGTGTGGTCTCTGTGTCTGATCCCTGGTCTGAGGCGAGCGTTGGTGAGTGGAGCCGCCGCCATCTTGTTCCGGCCTTGTTTAATCCCGTCTGCCTTGGCCGAAGAAATCCGATGCGCGCTGTGCTTTAGGGGAGGTGGAGGGTGAGGTCTCCCCAAGTCAGAGCTGCTGTATCATGTAGTTGTCTATCCAAGTTCTGCGTTT